AGTACGATAAATTTCGATTCGTTACCAAAAACTGAATGCGCTCGCAGGTAATTCAGCAACATCGAAATGATATTCCAGCCGGGCAAGAAAATCAGCACGGCACCTTCCTCACCTTGCCCAGTGATATCATTTAGAAGTGCCTGAAACAGATGACATTCATAATTTATGCTTATACAATTTTTAATTTTCGAATAACTGATTTTTCCCCCAATAAATTGCGACTAAGTCCATAATTAATTTGACCATAACTTTCATCAATTTCAATTGCCATAATCGTCCCACTGACGAGGTTCGGTTGTGGTAATGGTAAGAAATGTATACGACTTAATGGACCGAAACACTTTCTTACTATTCGAATAATCCCACAAATTTTCGAATTTTCATTTCTTACCTTCCTTTTTCTTTTTCGTTTTTTTCCATTCTTTCTTATTGTAACTTTCTATTCCAAGTGAGCGTGCAGGTCTAGACAATTTCGACGTGTGACAGGCATAAAGTCCCCTTTATCATGTCCATAAAAAAATGCAACACACTTTCTGCGGCTAAATTTGGATGGCATAGCTACTGTCATGCCGATCAGAGAATAATGATAATGTACGCTGTATAGTGCGGTAAATTAGCGCCTTTTTCCTTCAAAGAAAACCTTTTAAATTTTGGTCCCAAAACTTTCTTTTTTGTTTTGCTTGCTAAGTTTTTGCAATAAGGATCCATGCGATGAGATGCTATCCTCGAAGTGTAAGTGATTTAAGCTGCTTACTACTGATATCCAAACCAACCTTTTAATTTAAATTACGAAGTACCACATCGAAGCAGCCTGTGTGTAAAGCTTTGGTGATACAGGATCTCCCCCTCCTACCCATACCCTTCATAACCGCCGTATGGATTCATAAGTGCCAAAAAAACAATATATCTGTCAAGCGGCCTATACTCACTTCCTCAGTTTTCACATATTTACCAAACCCTTCACCTATATCAACTCGTCGTAGCATAACCTTTCGCTCTAGGCAGGTGAATGCTTTTTCGCAATCAATGAATAAGAGAAAAAAGAGTTGGAAATCCTTCCATCCGTTGGAGTACACTTTGGTGAAATTTACACCTCGAATTTGATGAGCACTTATGTAGAAAAAAAAAAACACTGACCTCAATTACTTCAAATGAAATTTCTTTTTCTGACAATCGGCTCATCGCAAGTTTTGTGTTAGGACCATAATCATCGCTAACAATAAGATTCATATTTTGGGCCTGCAAAAGGATAAACATAATACATGTGCAAATCGAAGCATGCTGTACTTCCGAAGCATTTGGAGCCAAATACGTCCAAAGTGATTCATGGAGCTGACTGGTAATATACACTTTGTTTATTATATCTGATCGTGGATTTAGTTTTAACAGGTTCATTTCACGTACGTGGCCGCACATGTGGCCCCGTGGAAGTTTTGGCGGGAAAAATTATTATCTCAAGAACCACAAGAGCCAAGAAGCAGAAATTTTAGAGGAATGTCTCATGTTGACGTGCGACCGACCCAGCAAATTTAAATTCAGCTTTCACGCACGCCTAGGTGTTACGTAGAGCGACATGAAAGATTTTGCAGAAAAATTTGTTGAGGATGTTTTCTGCTAACATAGCAGCTTCGCAAACTCGAATTTAGCTTTCACGTATTCCTGAGTCTCATGAACTGCAACGTGAAAGTACTGGCGCGAAAGTCACTAATTCAGAAGCCAGAAAACTGAGAGGCTGAAATTTTGGAAGGATTTTCCCCGTCTGTGTGCAAATCACAGGTTTCGAATTCAGTTTTTACGTATCAGATTGTGTTGCACTTTCATTCCGTGATATTTCATGGGAAATTCATGCATCTTAGGAAACAGGTAACATCATGTCTACTATTTCTGCACACAACAAACTGCAAAAAAATGAAAATTCTTAACAGCAAACGTCCACTGGACGGAGCTGCGCAAGACGCATGATTCCATCCACTATCCTCTGGTGTGGGCCACTACTTATTGCAACCCGCACTAAGAGGTAGTGGATACGGACTGGAAGAAGACCGAACTACACGTCTTTACATCCGGATGCGATGTACTTTCAATCCTAGAACATGATTAGATGGGCATCTTGCCAAACAGAGGTGTCGCAGACTACTGAGCTAGGAAAAAATTTTGTTTTCTTCGTCATCATGAGCCTTTTTTAAGAAAAAAAAAAGGAACCTCTTCCGACTCCTCTTCTTCATCATCATGCTGCTCCCTGTCACGTCTTCGTCTGGCGTCAAATGCTGGTGGCAAAAAACGAAGCATCTGCACAATATCTTCCAGGAAATAATCTTAAATAGATAGATTGGTGAAAAAATTTATCTTTGTCAAGCTCGATTCTTCCTCCTGTCTGCTTCTTTCCCAGTTCCTCTATCAGTCCAGAATTACTGTGTATTTAAATTAGTAACAAACCAGTGAGAAATTTCAGTGCCGTTAGCGAATATTTTGGGTTACTGTACTTTTTAGTATATCGTAAATTACGGTACTTCGAGGCACTGTAGCTTATCGTAATCTTCAATATACTGTGTGGGAAAATGGAGGTCATACGGTACAAAACTCTCAATTTTTCTAGATCTAACTGTTACACTTCTCATAACCGACTATTTTTTCAATGCAAAAATTTTTCTTGAAAAGCACAATCGCACCAGTACCGTCTCGTGCTATCCTAAACTGCATGCTCGAATTTGCCCTGCTAGTAATTTTTCACTTCCCTCGTTGATTATATTAAAAATTCATTTACAACAATAAAATATTACTTAATATTCAGTGCTAATTATCAACCAAGGCTACAAAGAATTGAAAAAAAAAAAACATACGCTGGACAGGAAAAGTACGTCCTTCGAGCTGAATCACCGGACAACCACCAAAATAATTGGTGAACAGATTTGTATCGATGGTTGCAGACATCAAAATCACTCGTATATCCGGAAACATTTTCACCATATCTCGCAGAACGATCAGAATAAAATCGGTCTGTAAATACCTTTGCTTATTTGTGCGGGTGGGAAAAAAACCAAAAAAAAGTAAAACAAAACAAGAAAAAAAAACAGACCGATTCCATGAAAACTTCATTTCTCAATTTTTTTATTAGCCCCAAAAAAATAAAAAAGCCTTACTTATTCTTCAAAATCAATCAGCGCTTAAACAGTCACTTACATTGATATCTCGCTCATGGATTTCATCAACAATGATATGGCTCACGCCACGAAGTCCTGATTCCAGTCTTCTCAGCAGCACACCAACGGTAACAAACATCAGCGCTCCATACGGTCGCGGATGAACGGAGTCAAATCTGTAAATAACGCGGTTATATTTCCCTGGCACAATAAATGAAAACTGTTAAATGCACTGCACTGTAAAATACAGTAATTTTAAGGTATAGCAACCTCAAAACGGAGCTACAGTATCCTGCGGTGGCGTATTTTAGTCTACTGTAAATTACGGTATTTTGAGATACTGTAGCGTATCCCTATTTTTAA